CAGCGATGTTGTATAGTAGATGTCTTCTCATCACCCAGTTAGATACATTCACTGAGGCTTCTTCTTTTAATTTATAATAGAGTCCTGATTAATAAATAGGACTTTCGTTCAGTAGTTTTATCGTGCACATCAAGTGCAACATTCTCTTGATCAAGAACCTAGAAAAATATCGTGATGCATATTCATTTTATGAAGATGCAATTGACTATATAGCTTTTAGAACAAAGTCCAAAAATTAACTGTAATGCACCTTAGTCTATGGAACATCGGATCATTGCAGGATATTTCTATGATGAACGATTATGAAACTCTAAGGAACTTCGAAAAGCTTCGCCAAGAGCTAAAATTTCAGACACATTCTTGCACCTTGAATTCATTAAAATGCATTCATTTGCATTCCATTTCATTACTATCCCATCGTTTGGCATTTAACCATTTCACGGCGATGGGCTCCACCGGTGGACTCTACTATATTTTAACAAGAAATTTAATAGAAAAATACTTTTCTTTCATTTATCCTTTGGGAAAGGTTACACTTAAGGTGTGATTTGCTCTGCCTTCGCCATTTTTAAAACCATTTATTGCATAGCGTGATGTTTCTCGTTAAAACAATCAAGACAAAGAAATTTGTTACAATCAGAAGAGAAAGTTTTTATTCTCTTTGTTGTTGCATGACATGTTCCTCTTGATTGTTGTTCCCTGTTTTTCGCATAACAGCCAACGCAACGTCTTCGGAAAATCGCGATCATATCCTTTCTTTTCTGCGAGCGTGTCATCCGCGAGTTTGCGCGTCGTTTGGCTTGTTGAACGTTCTCTTGGACCAGGTTTTAGATTCTCGAATGGCACACCCAGAAGTAAAGATCGCACAAGAATTTCGCGAAACAGTAACATCATCATCCTACTCGTGTCATAATATTCATTGTAAATCAAATAATCATTCACTATTGGCACTCCAAATATCATCTCAAATGTCACTTTTTGATACCATTTTTGAACCGTCGAAGGCATGTATAGTAGGTTGATAGCTGATCAGATAAATCTATACCTTATTTTTCCTTATTGTAATCGAAGACAACTTGTAGTTTCATGATGCCTTCATTGTCTTTATGGGTTTTTTCGGTGTCTACCAAAGTTGTCGAATGCGGTGGCTTTGTGAATATCATCAAAACATCTCTTTTATCTTTCCACTGGATTAGTTTTATACCGTTGTTGCTCTGAAGTCCATAAACTTCACCACGCTTTAGCTTCTTTTGAACTACTTCGTGCCCTGATTCAGCGCGATTGCTTAGTGTTCCAATACGATAAGTATCGTTTCGTAATAAACTTTCTGCAAGAGTGATACTTGCAAAGTTGTCAACTACTGCAATTTGATGATATCTCAAAAGACCGTCAATCAAATTGATTACAAATAGATGTGCACCAGTGCCAGTAACTGAGTCCCAGTCGGACTGGGTTCTGAGTCCGACTTGGACCCAGTCATTGACTGAGACTCAGTCACTACTGGCTACTTTGTCATTTGACGTTTATTCCGCTAATCGATTAGTACTTCCCTCTTTTCTAAGGGTGTGAGTGTGGGTGTTGGTATGAGTGTCGTTATTGCCATTCTAACCATTCCCCTATCTAAAAAACATCCATACTTATATCAATATTTCAACAGCCTAATAATCACTGTATGATAATATACTAGAAAAGAAGAAAGTGCTAATTGACTACTGGACTAAAGATCAAATGACTAAGTTCCAGTCGTGACTGGCACTGGTGCATCCCTAATTATGGCAGTTTGAGCATGCCCAAGGCCAGCCGTTAGATCCTGCTTACCGGCATAAACCATAAAATTCCACGTGTATTCATTAGTAGCCGCTAGCTTGTATATCTTTACGCCATATTTGTGCGCTCTTTCAGATATACATTGCTTGAACAAATGTCTGCCTTTCCATGGTACCATTGTTTGATCGACAGAAATAATTAAATCAGGAATATCAATTGACTTAAATCTAGCTTTTAATAAATCTGGAAGTAGTTTCAATTTGAACAATCTGTCTTGATCTGTATATTCTTCTTGGTTGTTCGGAAAATGATAAAAATTTGAGAAGTGAATCAAATCTATCTCTCGACATTGTATTTTGAATGACTTCAGTTCGAAACAATTTGCTTTTGCTCCAGTAGTAATCTATTTCTGGCATCTGCACTAATCCCATTTCAATAATAATTCCCAAAAACTTGAGTATTGCTTCATTAGTAATTTGTTGCCACTGAAGAGTTGTTTGATCGTTTGCTACGCTTTTGGGTTTGTATGTATTATTCTGCATATCGGTTAGTTTCACGAACCATAAGACTAATAATCTTGTCAGTGATGAGATGTCGATAGCAATCCATAGGATTGATCTTACTATCTTTCGAATTTACTGATATTTCTTCCATCATTCCATATTACTCCGCAAATTCAGCATCCGATTCTGATTTTATTTTGCCCCAGACTTGTGAATCAATATCATCATCACCATCATCTGTAACTTGTTCTTCGAAGTTTGAAGATCTGAATTGCATTCTGGAAAAACCACTATCCAAAATACTCACATCACTCTGTGAGTTACCGCTTTTCTCTGTATTCGTTTCTTCGAACAACCTATAAATTGCAAATTTTGAAAAATGTGAGTGTAGTTTATTATCATTATTTCGGCTGGAATGATGTATACTATATGGGCGTGACCAACGGTATGGTCCCGCATATATATATATATATATATCAGAGACCGAAATGAGTCAAAAAAATTCAACTCGACTCGATTCGATCCCAGCCGAGTCGAGTCGAGCAGCCGAGTATCGATTCAAAATCGAATTTTTAGAAGTACATTCTTAATATCAAGAATGAGAAGAAATTCAGATACACATTTCACTCGCATCACAGTGTTGAAACATCCACGTCGGACCATACGGAAAAGAAACCGTCAGCTTCAGGAAATTGTGACAATTTCTAGGAAGCAGTATTTGAGACTTGGAGATCTCAGGTTCTTTTTTCTGTGCCTTCCCATTAAAACCCTGTCTTTGTCGCCCAAAGATGGTCGGAAGTCATCGAAAAAGTCCTTCGTTCTCTCTACTTGATGTACTGCTTCGTTTTTCTATCGATTTTTGGAGGTTCTCTGTTAGAAACAGAAATTTTCTACGAGTTTTCTACTCTGCTTCAGAGCTTGGAATTATCGTTTCGAATAATTCTGAATCATTTTCTTGCACGATTTCGGCAATACTGCAGGTCGATTTCTTCTCCCCATACATGCTCCAAGACTATTCGAAACGGTCCTATTCGATGGAATGGTTAACATATTTCATCGATTTTAATATTCTAAATATGGTCAAACATTTGATCATTTAAACATCCATACTGTTTTGATTATCTTTTTGCGATAGATAATGAAATAATGCAATACACTACTAAATCTGTTGTACATCGCATGCCGATCACTTACATAGGCTGACGATCAATCAAGTCATTGCATTCCAATTAATCTTTGAACAGTCAGTAATGCATTGAATACAATGAAAGCTAGTGTATATCATTCATTGTAGTTTATTTAGTGTCGTCAGTTCATCGCTGACTATTCATTGAAATGAATTGACATTGTCTCATCTCGGTTCTTCTAACGATAACTAATCCTGCGAAACAAATGATAGAATTATGAAGAAATTTTTAAAAAGTCGAATCTTCGGAGTCAAATTCGACTCGACTCGTTTTCGGTCTCTGATATATATATACATATATGGAGATAGTGTTCATACCTTGATATTTCAATTGCTATGTGTCTATATAGAAATATCTTGCATAAATACTTTCAAATCGTCTGAAACTTTACTGAATAAGCCCTATGTATCCAAGAAATACTACAGCATTGTCTTTCATACCGTGTATTGCTTTCTATGCCTTTCAAAAGGCATTTAAAATTCTTTGGATCTGAACTTTTATCATTCTAATGACCTGCAGCGATGAGTTCATATCTCTTTTCATTTCTCAGTATTTGAGGGTCTTTCTCAAGAATCCTGGTAGTTCTCTCAAAGTTGACAATAGAAGCCGTTCATGGGAGAAATCACACTTTATTTACTTACTACAACATGTCTTTTACGAGATATCTTCCATAAGTGGTTAAAACTTTTTGAATGTTTTGTTGTAATAACTTCCACACTCCATAATGTCTTCGTATTAGAATTGATGCTGCAGTATTTTCTAAGATATAATAACTTCTTTCAAAACAATGCTTTACGTTCTCCATACACAAGTATTAAATAGTTCGAATGCTTCAGAATTTATGAGTATCTCGCTGCTTCCTACGAAATTGTATGGAATTTTCTCGTATTTTCAAGGCCAATTTGTTCAGTTATTGCTGAAATATTCACCGCACGACTTCCGCCCCAAAGACTCATCTTTTCTTTTCCGATATTTCATTTCTGAACCGTTCAGAAATCTTATTATACTATACCCAATCGGAAACCTCCTTTCTGCCCGCATGTTGTACTTCTTCTAAAAACATTCAGCTGGTCTTATTACAAAGTTTTAGAATAAGACTTATTCAAGAAATTGCATATATTCAAACTGCATACAAGAGAAATACGTATCTGTAGCAACCCACTTCAGGGAAACTCACAAATAGTCGATCATGGACTTTCATTTCCAACTGTAATTTATAAATTTGCAGAACAGAACAACTTTCAAAAACCTCGATGATTCCTATCCTCAACTACTACATATCTCGAATTAAAAAATGAAAACAGTATAAGACCTTTTCAGTTTCATAATGAACAGAGACTTCTCATCGTCTCCTCCTTTACCAATCTAACAAACACATCAACCATTATTCATATATTCGATTTTGCTCCCTCATTCCATTCTAACTTCAGTGACGCCTATGAGAAGCACTGATGTTCTTCTGATTCCACCCGAACGACTCTCAAGGAACGGCATGATCCTCGCTGGCGGATATCGCAAAGGAGATAAATTGTATCACTTAAACATGCCACTGGCATTATACGTGAACAAACATGGAATAGTATATGTGACTGACTCCGCGAATCACCGTATTGTGGCTTGGGCACCTGGAAGTACGTCTGGTGTACTCGTTGCGGGGGGGAATGGGCAAGGGAATGCATTGAACCAACTAAATCGTCCATCGGATGCGATTCTTGATCCAGCTACTGACCATCTGCTTGTATGTGATCGTGACAATACAAGAGTGGTACGTTGGCCACCTGACAATGGCATTCGTGGAGAACTCATTCTCTCCAATATCCAATGTTTCGCTTTGACAATGGATGATCGTGGATTTCTCTATGTTAGTGTCACAGACAAGCATGAAGTTCGACGCTTCAAAGCAGGTGAATTCCAAGGAACAGTTGTTTCTGGTGGGAATGGCAAAGGTGATCGTCTCGATCAACTGAACTTTCCAACATATCTATTCGTCGATCGTCATCATTCTTTGTACGTATCGGACTCCGAGAATCATCGTATAGTAAAGTGGGTAGAAGGCGCGAAAGAAGGGAAAGTGGTAGCTGGCGGTAATGGTCCAGGTAACCACGTCAAACAGCTGTTCGGTGCGTTTGGACTACTCGTGGATCCGATGGGTACTGTTTATGTAGCAGATTCTGGGAATAATCGTATCATGCGTTGGCCACGAGGATGCACTGAAGGCAGCGTGGTCATCGGTGAAAGTGGACAAGGAGCCGGTTCTTATCAGCTCAGTAATCCCATTGGTTTATCTTTCGGCGAAGAAGGTCACCTGTACGTTGCTGACACGGGAAACCATCGTGTACAAAAATACATTTATTCAAGTAAGTTGTTTTTTCCTCCTTTAGCTTTTTCCATTACTATTGGTTTCTTGCGATCACCCTGTGGAAGCAACTTGCCGTATCAGTCAGAGCGCCTATCACTGCGCCACCAACATATTTTCATTTCTAAAGTAATTTGTTGTCTAAACATCTGTCATAACATTGCTCATATTCTCTCAAACTTCAGTCGGGAAATGTAACCAAAGTTGCCATGGTATGGTGATTATAAGGATGAGTTTCATACATGCTATATGTTTAGTGAATGAAAACCTGAAAAGGCGGCGATTCGCTCTTCCACTGCTTATCTAAATGGGCTTTATGGGAGTTTCATAGCAGGACGCTAACCAAAAGAGAAGTTGAGAAAATGGTGAACAAAGAATTTGTTCAGGAAACTTTGTATGCTGTTGTGAAAAGCTCAGCCTTCGCTGTTTCTGTGCGAGGAAATCCCATAGATGTGTTAAATTCTAACGAAATATTAATCCATCGCAAGAAACTATATAAAGTGACAACAGTTCTCGTGAATTCTGTTAAAAGCAGTAGAACTATGAAGAATTCCTTTCAAGTTTCTTGAAGTCTAATGAAGTCTTTCGGAGGTCGCATGGAGTGTAACAGAATGCACTTGGCCAGTGATGAAGTGATCTGATAGATTCTCAAATGTTTCCATATGTTAAGTCTGTTTTTTTGAAGGCACTTGAGACTGGAGTAAGAATTTCGGAATGTTGGAAGCTCTCAAAGGCTTAAGCGCGGTGTTGTTGTCTCGCCTACTGTCTTCCTCTCTTCATGCTTCTGGTAAGTGTCTATATCATGTGGTTGATTTCGTAAATATTTTCATCCATCTACGTCTGGCAACATTTTCCACCGCATTTACGAAGTGCTTTTCTCCCTCCTTCTCCATCCCAGAAGCTAGGCGATTACAGATTTGCTTCACGAAATCTTTCAATAGATGAAATCAGCTGGCCGTTCGTTTCGCTTCAGTTTATCGCCATCCACTGACAGCTATCTTAAATTATTCACAATTACTCCTTGAGCGTGGGTAAGTTCTTTTCCTACATACGAATCATCAGATTTCCTATTCTCAGTTACAGAGCTTTTTGGTCTTAAGATCCTACCTCAGCGTCTGAGAATCTTGCTCGAAATATTCTTCATGAAACTCTCTCGCTTGAAGGTATCTCATATTTATCGAATTTGACTGGACCGAACGCAGCTTTCTACTTCCTCTCGCGGCCGCATTAGTGCCCATGTTGGTCATAATAAAATCTATGATAAGCATTGTTCGTTTTTTGGAAAATGTAAAGATAATTCGAGTACCGTAATAGAGAAATCACTTGCATCACTCGCGATCAAACTTTTTCGTCCAATAGAGCTCCACGTTTCACTTAATGAACACCTTTGTATCTAGTTCACAACATCCTAATTTACGTTTGTCGGTCCACATGTTCCCATTAGACTCAAAAAATTTCGTGATACTTCAAGTTCCATTCTACTTCCTTCCCTGAAATATCATTTGGAAATCAACATGGGATTCATATTGGCAGCACATGGATACATTTCATATTCAAACTACTGCCACAGGCTGCCTTCTTATCAGGATGTTTGAATCATATTCAACGTGACCGAGAAAAACTCGACACAGATTATTCTTTTATCTATGACAACATGCTCGATTACACTTCTAAAACAACTACAGGGTGTTGCAAAACCTTTGTGCCACCCCCTGGTTCGACCTTAAGGTCAAATGATTTTACTAAGTATTGTATAACAAATTGAAGCCCGTAAAAAACTGGATTTATTTGTACTAAAAAGTAAAGGTTATGAAGATCTTTAAATGTTGTACTTAACAAATTTTCAGATATTTTATGCTTTTTTTGGTGTAGAGAATTAAGATGCCAGTAATTCAAAACTCAAAAAAAACTTTTTTCTTTGTAATTTTTATACGGTTTGATAGAGCTCGATGAGCTCTACAAAACGGCGTATATTAAAGAACTTTTGAGCCATCTTTTTGAGATAAAAAATCCAAAAAATTACTCGGAGAATCGCAAAAATGTTTCAAAAAACTCATTTTTTTGTGTGGAAGAAAAACATTCGGCTTTTCAATAAAATTAGCTTTTCTCATTATTTTTCCTACTCCACACGTTTCGAAATATATGAATTTGATGCTGCATCAAAACTTGCATCCATCAAATACCTTTCGACACGTGCAAAGTAGGGAAAATAATGGGAAAAGCTAATTTTATTGAAAAACCGAATGTTTTTCTTTCACACAAAAAAGAGTTGTTTGAAACGTTTTTGCGATTCTCGGAGTATTTTTTTATATTTCTTATCTCAAAACAATGACTCAAAAGTTCTTTTCTCTATACAGGTTTATAGAGCTTGTCGAACGCTATCAAACCATATAAAAATTTCAAACAAGAAAGTTTTATTTGATTTTTGAACTACTGGCATCCTAATTTTCTACACCAAAAAAAGCATAAAATGTCTTAAAATCTGTTAACTTCCACATTAAAAGATCTTCAAAAACTTTACTTTTTAGTAAAAATAAATCCCGCTTTCTACGGGCTTCAATTTGGCATAAAATACTTAGTGAAATCATTTGATCTTAAGTTCGAACCAGGGGCCGCAAAGGTTTTGCAACACCTCGTATATGCGATCCCCTCTAAATATTGATTTCCCATCTCCAACTATTGCCACAACTCAAAACGCTCTCCAGAGACAATTCTTCTCCACTTCTTATGCGACGCACTCATCGATTCCACACGCTTTTTTTGTCAAATAATGCTTGGAACAACTTCCACTCTTTAGAATGGTCTTCCCTTCGCTGTGTAGCTAGCATCCATTTGTGTGCAGATCACTGAGAAGAGGGATACATCACAAACCAATTCTTTGAAAACTGTTCACTATGATTAAGACCTTTTCAGCGACAACTCTACGCGGTACCGAAATCCCACTTTTACCAACAGCTCAGTGGTCCACAACTGCTACTACAGTTGCAGGTGGAATCGGCGCCGGTGATCGCTTGGATCAACTGAACAGTCCCCTTGGCTTATGCATAAATGAAAATGGAATAGTATACGTGGCTGATTTCCAGAATCACCGTGCTGTGGCTTGGAAACCTGGCAGCAGATCTGGTGAAGTAGTTGCGGGTGGAAATGGAGAGGGAAATGCATTGAATCAACTTAATCATCCATCAGATGTGATCCTTGATCGAGCAACTGACCATTTACTTGTATGTGATCTTCAGAATAAACGAGTGGTACGTTGGCCACGTGACAATGGTATTCGTGGAAGAGTCGTTCTTTCTGATATCGATTGTTATGGTTTGACAATGGATGATCGTGGATTTCTCTATGTTAGTGTCACAGACAAGCATGAAATTCGACGCTTCAAAGTAGGGCAATCGGTAGGAACGGTTGTTGCTGGTGGGAATGGTAAAGGTGATCGTCTCGACCAACTGAACTTTCCAACATATCTATTTGTCGATCATCATCATTCTTTGTACGTGTCGGACTCCAAGAATCATCGTATAGTAAAGTGGGTAGAAAGCGCCAAAGAAGGGAAAGTGGTAGCTGGTGGTTATGGCCGAGGCAATCACGTCAAACAACTGTTCGATCCGACGGGAGTACTTGTGGATACGATGGGTACTGTTTATGTAGCAGATTCTGGTAATCATCGTATCATGCGTTGGCCACAAGGACGTGCTGAAGGCAGCGTGGTCGTCGGTGAAAGTGCACAAGGAGTCGGATCTAATCAGCACCAACAACCTGTTGGTTTATCTTTCGGTCGAGAAGGTCATCTCTACGTTGCTGATACGGGAAACCATCGTGTTCAAAAATACATTTACTCAAGTATGTTGCTTTTTTCTCCCTTCAGCATTTTCAAGTTCCACTGGCTTCGTGCCATATGAGTAAGAGCGCCTATCACTGAAAAACCAACGTATTCCCATGTCTGAAGTATCTGATGTCTAAATATCTTCTCTAGCACTGCTCACATTCTTTCAAAATTTCACTCAGAAAATGTAACAAAGTTGACATGGTATGGTGATTATCAGGATGAGTTTCATAAAGGATACATCTTCATTTAATGAGAAGCTGAAAAGGCGGTGATTACCTATTTCTTTGGTTATCAGAGTGAGTTTTATGGGAATTTCATCGCATAAATCTCACCAGAAAAAAAGTAGACACAACAGTGAACGGAGATTTTGCGAAGAAAACCTTGTATGCCGCGGTGAAAAGCTCACACTTCACTGGTCGGGTGCGATGAAGTCCTACAGATGTGTGGAATTCTAACTAAGTATTAATCCATCTCGAGAAACCATATAAAGTGAGCACCTTTCTCCTGAATTCTGTTAAAAGCAGCAGAACTATGAAGAATTCCCTTCAAGTTTCTTGAGGTTTAATGAAGTCTTTCGGAGGTCGCATGAAGTGAAATAGAATGCACTTGACCAGTGATGAAGTGACCTGATAGATTCTCAAATGTTTCCATATGTTAAGTCAGTTTTCTTGAAGGCACTTGAGACTGGAGCAAGAATTTAGGAATGCAGGAAGCTCCGAAAGGCTTAAGAGCAGTGTTGTTGTCTTGCCTAATGTTTTCCTCTCTTCATGCTTCTAGTAAGTGTCTGTATCATGTGGTTGATTTCGTAAATATTTTCATTTCTCTATGTCTGGCAACATTTTCCACCGCATTTACGAAGTGTTTTTCTCCCTCGTTCTGCATCCCAGAAGGTAAGGAATTAGAGAGGTGCTTCGCTAAATCTTTCCATAGGTGAAATCGGCTCACCGTTCATTTCGCTTCAGTTTATCGCCATCCGTTTATAGCAATCTTAAATTAGTCGCAATTGCTCCTTCAGCATGTGTAAGCCTCTTTTCGCAGATAGTAAGGATCAGATTTCGTACTCCCACTTAAAGAGTGTGTTAATCTGGAGATGCTACCTCAGTTTCTGAGAATCTTGCTCGTACTATTCTTCATGAAGCCCTCTCGGTTGAAGGTATCTCACACTTATTCAATTCGACCGGAACCAGCGGCGATTTCCATTTCCTCTCGCCGCCGGATTAGTGCCGACGTTTGTCATAATAAAATATCTTATTTTATACTTCGTTTGTAGAAAATGTAAAAATAATTGAACCATTGTAATAAAGAAACCACTTCCATCAGTCGCGAGCAAAATTTTCCATGCAATAGAGCCCCACGTTTCACCTGATGAATACATTTGTATCTAGTGAATGGAATCGTAATTTATGTTTGTCGGTCTCCATGTTTGCATCAGTCCGAAAACATTTCGTGATACTTCAAGTTTCATTCTGCTCCCTTTTCTGAAATATCACTTGGAAGTCAACATGGGATTCATATCCGCATCACATGGTGATGGCCAGCCATCGGTCACTCTTGCATGGGGAAGGTTTGGAATTATAAAAATACAGAAATTTTTTTTCTCTAGAGAGTATGATGTTGAAATATTATTGCACCTGTTCCGCACCGGAGTTACAGAGCTGACATAGGATGCCGATTTCATTTTTTCTTTATTAGGAGTTTAAAAACATCATTAATTCACAAATTTTACCGTTTTTTCATTTTGTAACTTTGCAATTTTGTCAAAAAAATGAATGAAATTTTCAGTGAAATTTTGAATCTAAGATAAAAATGAACTAATTGGCTTATAGTAGAAAGTAATATGCATAATCATTACAAAATAAAAAAAGTTAGACTTCATACTTAAAATCACCATAAAAACGGCATTAAACTGTCCTTCATGGGAAGGGCGAAAATTGGCGAAATTCCATAACGATTGAAATTCCGTAACGGACATTGTTTTTGAGTTTTCTATGGGAAATATTGATGCCTACCAGAAAACGACCCGGTGTTCTTAAAGCTTATTCAGAGCTGAGCAGATTTCTTCTGGAACGCTTTTTGAGAATCGTTTCATTAATATATAAACTTTCAAACATTGGGCTCATCCTGAAAATCGTGTTCATTTTCTGAAATTCCGTAGCGCAACGTATTTCTTGGAAAACTCAGGTTCTACAAAAGAGAACTTGATAATATTCCTAGTGGCAATAGAACTTAATAGTCTGCATTTACGATGTAAATTTGATGGAGTTTCCTTTTGACCTCAAAGAGATATAGATTCAACAATGTGAAAAAACGAAATTCCGTAACGCTTGGCCATCACCATATGGATACATTTTATATTCAAAGTACTATCACAGGCAGGCTTCTTATCAGGATGTTTGAAACATATTCAACGTGACCAAGTAAACCTTGCCAGAGATTATTCTTCTCTCTATGACAACATGCTCGATTACACTGCTACAATAGCTATGCGCGATCACCTGGAAGTTTTGACTCACCACTTCCAGGCACTGCCACAACTAGAAACTCTCTCCTGAGACAGCTTTTCTGCACTTGTTATGGGACGAATTCAGCAGTCCAGAGGCTTTCGTTCCGAAAAATACTATAACTCCCTTCCAACAAGGTCCACTTTTTCAGCACCGGCTTCCTTTCGCTGTACACCTACCATCCATTCGTGTCCAGATCACTGAGAACAGTTGCATATGACAATTGAAATCTTTTGACACTGTTAAGTATACATTATGACCATTTCAGTGATACCTCTACGCGGTACCGACATGCCACTTTTACCATCAGCTCAGTGGTCCAGAAATGCTACTACGGTTGCTGGTGGAAACGGCGAAGGTGATCAGTTGCATCAATTAAACTTGCCTGCTCACTTATATGTCGATGAAAACGAAATATTATATGTGGCTGACTTCCTGAATCACCGTGTTGTAGCTTGGGCACCTGGAGCTACTTCTAGTAAACTAGTTGCAGGAGGAAATGGACGAGGGGATGCATTAAATCAATTAGATACTCCCATGGATGTGATCCTTGATCGAGCAACTGACCATTTACTTATATGTGATCGTCAGAATATAAGAGTGGTAGGTTGGCCACGTGACAGTGGCATTCGTGGAGAACTCATTCTGTCGAATATCAGATGCTCTAGCTTGACAATGGATGATCGCAGATTTCTCTATGTTAGTCTCATCGACAGCAATGAAGTTCGACGTTTCAAAGTAGGGGAATCGGAAGGAACGGTTGTTGCTGGTGGGAATGGCAGAGGTGAACGTCTCGATCAACTGGACTTTCCAACATGTCTGTTCGTCGATCGTGATCATTCTTTGTACGTGTCGGACTTCAACAATCATCGGGTGGTAAAGTGGGTAGAAGGCGACAAAGAAGGCAAAGTGGTAGCTGGTGGTAATGGCCAAGGCAATCACGTCAAAAAACTCTTCGGTCCGATTGGACTACTCGTGGATTGGATCGGTACTGTTTATGTAGCAGATTCTGGTAATAATCGTATCATGCGTTGGCCGCAAGGATGCACTGAAGGCACCGTGGTCGTAGGCGAAAGTGCACCAGGACACGGTTCTAGTGAACTGAAGAACCCTTATGGTTTATCTTTCGGTGAAGGAGGTCACCTGTACGTAGGTGATATGGAAAACCATCGTGTACAAAAATACATTTATTCAGGTAGGTTCTTTTTTTCCTCCTTTATCATTTTCGACTACTATTGGCTTCTTTCAATCACTCTGTGGAAGGAACTTGCCGTATTAGTAAGAGCGGATAGCACTGAGGCACCAATATATTTGTATGTCTGAAGTTTTCCATGTCTAAAAAGGTGTCATAAAACTTCTTATATCCTTTCAAACTTCAGTCACGAAATCTAACAATGTTGCCATGGAATGGCGATTATAAGCAGGACTTTCAGAAAGAATACATGGTGACTGAATGAAACATGAAAAGGCGGCGATTACCTTTTTCTCTGGTCACCAGAGCGGCTTTTCTGGGAGTTTCATAACATAAATCTCACCAAAAGAGAGGTTAACAAAACGATGAACAAAGAATTTGTTAAGGAAACCTTGTATGCCGCGGTGAAAAGCTCACACTTCACTGATCGGGTGCGATGAAGTCCTACAAATGTGTGGAATTCTAAGGAAATATTAATCCATCGCGAGAAACCCTAGAAAGTGACAACAGTTCTCGTGAATTCTGTTTAGAGGGCTATAACTATGAAGAGGTCCCTTCAAGTTTCTTGAAGTCGAATGAGGTCTTTGGGAGTCGGTTGGGGTGCAACAGAATGCATTCGACCAGTGATGAAGTGACCTGATAGGTTCTCAAATGTTTCCATATGTTAAGTCTGTTTTCTTGAAGTCACTTGAGACTAAAGCAAGGATTTCGGAATGTAGGAAGCTCCCAAAGGCTTAAGAGCAGTGTTCCCTTCTCGCTTAATGTCTTTCTGTCTTCCTGCTTCTGGTAAGCATCTATATCATGTGGTTGAGTTCGTAAATATTTTCATTTCTCTATGTCTGGAAACATTTTGCACCGCATTTATGAAGTGCTTTTCATTCTCCTTCTCCATCCCTAGAGCAAGGCAATAACACATGTGCTTCACTAAATCTTTCAACAGGTAAAATCGGCTAGCCGTTCATTTTGCTTTAGTTTATCGTCATCCGTTTATAGCTATCTTAAACCTTTCGCAATCGCTCCTTGAGCGTGTGTAACTCTCTTTTCGAAGTTACTAATAATCAGATTTCGTATTCCCAGTTAAAGAGTGTGTTAGTCTTGAGATTCTACCTCAGCTTTTGAGAATAGTTATGGTGTTATTCTTCATGAAGCCCTCTCGGTTAAAGGTATCTCATATTTATCGAATTCGACTGAACCCAAGGCAGCTTTCTA